ACCCTAAACCCCAAACCCTAAACCCTAAACAACCCTAAACCCTAAACAACCCTAAACCCTAAACCCAAAACCCTAAACCCTAAACAACACTAAACCCTAAACCCAAAACCCTAAACCCTAAACAACGCTAAACCTTAAATCCAGGGCCTTTTTCTCCCCGTAACCCTCATTGCTCCCACTCCCTGTCAGCTGCTCAACCTCCCCCCCCCCGAATCAGACTCCAACCAGGTGCATGACACAGGAGGGGGGATCAGCAGGTGGGGAGGGCTTCCTCCCAGGGGTGCAATTTAACCGGTGTACCAACCGGTTCAGTGAGAGAACGCTTCACACTCATGCAGAGTGTTTGCTACTGACCTCCTCCAGCAATCCCTGGGTGTTAAACAGCTAATGCGCAGTAATGCAATGTGCCGCACGAATCGGCTCAGCTTGAAAACCAGGATATAAAGCACAGGCTAGAGCCCGGGCTAGTGAGTGGGCCCAACACCTGATCGTTGGAGCGAACCAAAGTGGTTTGCGCTCAGCTGATCGTCGGAGCTACTGGTTCACCCAAACCAGGCCGAACTGGTAGAATGCCACCCCTGCTTCCTCCCCTGCCCTAGAGGAAGGCTGTTTCCCCGGACCGAGCACCAAACCCAGCTCATCTGGCTCCCTCCTACCTTCTCTCCTTTGGGGCCCGTCTCACCCTTCAGGCCAGGCAGTCCGGGGGGGCCCTGCAGGAAGAAACACCCCAAGGAAGCTTAAGCACCCCCTGTGGTTGACAGCCCCCCTACTCACTCATTTGGTCTCTCCCCCAAAGGTTGGCTACTCACCGCAGGTCCTGGGGGCCCAGCCTGGCCCGTGGCCCCCGGTTTGCCTTGGGCCCCCTACAAAAGAGACCAAAGGCCCAAACATGAATGTCAGCCCCCCTGCAGGGAGGGGTACCCCACTTTTCCCTTTCCAGAAAGTTGGAAATGGGGACCTCTAAGAACTCTAAGTACCCCACCCTCCAAGGATCCACAATTCTAGAACGTGACTGTGTTTCTCCCCCCAGACCCTCCCAGCATCTTACCCTGGAGAGACCCCCGCCCCCCAAGCAATGAGGCAGCTGCCCCCTCCCCTCTTACCACAGATCCCGGGACGCCTCTCAAGCCCTCCAGGCCAGGTTTTCCAGGGGTCCCCTGGGGTCCCACAGCCCCGGTTTTGCCAGGGGGGCCGAGGACCCCTGATTCTCCCTGGAGAGGGGAGAGTTAGGGTGGAATAATGGTCAGACCGAGGGAAGAAAGCACCTATAAGAGATGGCTCCGCTCCTTCCAGCTTTGATGGGGTGGGATTGGATGACCTCTAAGGTCCCTCCCCCACTCTCACGCCCTGCGATGCTCCCTCAGGATGGTGTCCCCTTCAGCTTCTGCTCCGGAACCACCAGAGCAAGCACTGAAGGGCCCCCCCACCCCCAATTTCTCTCTTCTGGGGCCCAAGAGGAGGGCTGGGGGCTCCTGCCCAATAGCAGCCCTGCCCCCTTCTCTGCAGTTGGGACCCCCACCCACCCTTCCTAATCTCTCCTATCCCCCCACCCTTCCTTTTCTGCCTGGAAAAAGACCCATTCAGTGGGGATCGAAGGCCCCTTGAGGGGGAGGGGAAGGGTGTCTGGCGTTTCAGCTGCCATCTGGAATCTTCCATGGAGCCTGGTGACCTCCTCCCCTCAGAAGCAGCCCCACTCACCTTCTTGCCCTTCGCCCCCTGCCGTCCCTCGGGGCCAGGCGTTCCAGCGGGGCCCTGGAGAATGAGACAAGGTCACGGTGGGCCGGGGATCTTTCTCCCTCTGGAGATGGAGGGGGCTGGGTGGAAACAGGGGCCAATGCAGTCCAGAGACCTTCCTTTCTCTCTTCCTTAAGAAAGGGGGGGGCTTTTCTTGCCCCACCCTGCAGTGGAAGGAGTGGGGGGAGGAGACTAAAAGCATTTAGTCCCCGACTCCGGATTTTGGGGGGGGGGGTGTTCTTTTGCTGGGGGTCTTGGATAGCCCCTGGCTGCCTTTCTCTCCCCCGTGTCCTGTGATTCCCTGTGGGTGTTGGGAGGGGGGCATCTCCTGCCCTCCCCAATGGGGTGGAGCCCAACTTACCCTCTTCCCAAGTGGCCCAGGGGGACCAGCCTCACCCGATGGTCCCGGAGACCCCTGGAAATGAAGGGGAGAGGTTAGGGAGCCGCCGACTGAAGCTCCAGGGCGTAAGTAGAACGTGGCGGTCTCTCATGGAAAAGATGAGACACAAGCGAGTGTTCTCGGGATGAGAGCCCAGAGCAAATTCCAGCGCTCCCTTTTATTGAGATTTTTAGCATAGCAAGTATAGTCACATTGTGGATTACAATAATTAGATATAGTACAGACTTGTTTACAGTTGTCTGAGCTGCTTGATTGTTTCTAGTGTTTGTTTTTAATTTCCTTAAGCTATCTCAGTGACCTTTAGGCAAGCATGTATATATAAGGTCTTAGACTAATCATTACCCAATACCCAAGTCAAAGTTTATTCCCACAGTAGAAGGCCATCGAGGGGGGGTGTAAGTGGGAGTCCACGGGGCAGACATGGCCCGCTTCCTGCTGGAAAGTGGGCGGGGGGCTTCGACCCAGCCACATCCCACTTAGGGTCTAAACCTCCCACCCCCACCCCCCAAAATGCTCACCGCCTCTCCGGGTTGTCCATTTTCTCCTTGCTCGCCTTTGGCTCCGTCTTGGCCCTGTGGGGAGAGGCACATGGGTCCGGGGGTCTTTTTTTTTGGCCTTAGCGGAGGGCAGGCTCAGAGGGGGAGGGCCCAGCCAAGAGGGAAGGGTCATACTCACCCGGGGTCCGATTCCTCCAGGGGGTCCGGGGTCTCCAGGGAAGCCAACCGGGCCCTGTGCCCAGAGATAAGTCAAAGTTCACCAGAGTCCGGCTTCCCATTTCTCCCTCCCCCCAAAAATAAATATTCAATTTCGCACTTTTTAGTCTCATCTAACCCTTAGATGCCCCTTCCCCCAAAAACCCCTACAAATTTTTTTTGAACAGTTGGACAAAACAGGCCATAATGTCGGCTTTATTTACCCATAGAATGGCTACACCGGTTTCCCCAACCTTACACTACAAATCCCATCTCTTATCTGGTTCTGGGATTACCGGGGCTTGTAGTCTACAGGAGTTGAGTGGGGAAGGCAGTCCTAGACTTCCTGCCTCCCCCCCCACCCCACCCCTCTCATTTCTGCAGCTTCCCTTACCGGGTTCCCCTTGGGCCCATCGTCCCCAACGGGGCCTCTCCCTCCGGGGGGTCCGGCCACACCAGCGCTTCCGGCTTCCCCTTTCTCTCCTTGCTCACCCCGCGGGCCCTTAGGAGAGAGGAGGGGCTATTAGAGTGGAGGGGATGACGCGGAGCCTCCAGAGGCAGAGGCAGTATATACCTCTCCACACGCAGGATGTGGAAAACAGGGCACCCTGCTGCCCCAAAGCCCCTTCTTAAGCCTTTGAGTAGGCGGAGACAACCAGGACATATTGAGGGGGTCTGTGGCACCCAGGGGCACAGGGTGGCACACTTTTCCACCCCTGATGTGCAGGAGGGTGTGTGAAGCCTGCTCCACATGGGACCCGGGGCCACAGAGCTCTGCTCTGGCGCTGAAGGGCAGGAGGAGGGAAAGACGAGTCTAGGGTGGCACAGCAGGTAACAGCGACACAATCGTGGGGCCAGAAGAAAGAGACGCACCTTCGGACCGGACTCTCCGGGGACTCCGGGTCCACCCTGCTCTCCTGGTTCGCCCTGGGATGGGAGAAAGGAGGTTAGTGGATCGGGCCCACGTTGGGTTCCTCGGCTACGTTTTGCCTCCTGACCCTCCAAAGTCCCGTGGAGTCAGCTGGTTGTGGACAACCGCTTGGGTTCCCGGGACACGGCGGTCCCAACGATGCGCTTGATACATCTAAGGAAAGCCGTCTTTGACCCCAAAGTGGCCTTCCCAGGAGGGCGGGAACTGTCCCTCCTCTGGTTGGGGATGATGGGTGGGATGGTCCAGCCCAGCTGGACAAGCAAAGGTTGCGAGAGCCGATCCGTCTAAGACAGTGGATCTGCAAACTTTCCGGCTTTGCGAACCAGCGGGGTGGCACAGAGGGGATGGTTCCACGTGATCGGTGGGTGAGCGTGGGCGTGCATAGCTCTATTTGTGTGAGTGGTGTGTACATGTGCCCACCGCTCGCACAAATGGGGCTGTGTGTGTGCGCACTTGCAAGCCCACCCGTTCCACACGAAAATAAAAATGCAGCTGTACACGCCCGACACTTCTGCAACCCGATTCTGAACGGACTGTGGCCCCTGGATTGGGGACCCCTGGTCTAAGAGGTCTCAGTGTCCCCCACGGGACAGGAAGGATTCTGTGCAGAGAGAGCCACAAGGATCATGGTCAAGATCCACCTCTGATGTTGGATCCTCCCCAAGGAGCCTGGAAAACCCCTACCTGTGAGCCTCCCCCCAAAATACCACACCCAGCACCCCCCAGAATTCACCTACCTTTTGTCCTGGTGGCCCCTCGTTTCCGATTCCTCCTGGGGGGCCTTGCGGACCCTGTGGGAAAAAGAGATACAACCGGGCTCAGCCCTGGGAATCCATTAAGGGAAGGAATCCGGTGGAGAGGAGGGCAGGAGACACACTCACACTAGCTCCGGGGGGCCCAGCTGGGCCTCGTGGTCCTGGGGGTCCCGGGGGTCCCTGCAAGAAAATACTGATGAGCGTCCAGACATCTCGTTTCCTGACAACAGAGCTGGGCAGGAACCACATTTGGGGGGGGGGGTGTCTGGGGGTCTGGGAGGGATTCCCCTCGAGGAAGGCAGTGGCACTTACCAGGGGTCCCCCGTCACCAGTCTCCCCCTTCTCCCCAGATGGTCCGGGCAGTCCCTGTCGAGAAAGAGCGCGTGAGCGGTGTCCAGCTCAACAGCGGGCAGCGGAGTGACCCTCGCCACGGCCGTTTGTTACCTGCAAGCCAATCGGTCCTGGTGGCCCATTGAATCCTCGGATGCCGTCATCCCCCTTCGTCCCAAAATTGCCCTGGGAGCCCCTCGCCCCAGGCTCACCATCCGCTCCCTAAAGGCAGCACGGAAAGAGACAATCTGAGACCTGGGACCCAAAGGAGAGCCCAAACCCGCTTCTCCTGCTGCCCATTTCAAGAGGGGTCTCCCCAGAAACCAAGGGGTGACGCCCGGGGTGAAGCCAAGGGGTGGCAACTCTCTGCAGAGTCGCCCAAGGGGCGGCGCCCAGAGGACCTGAGGTACAACCGCGAGACCCACAGGAAACGAGGTTATGCCACCCGTGGAATCCCGCCGATACTTACCGCAGCACCCGGCTGCCCAAGAGAACCGAGAGCGCCCGGGGGCCCTGGGGGACCCTGCAGGAGGAAGAGAAGCTTATCAGCTGCACAACAAGCGGAGTCGCAGCTGCAGACCCCGGCTCCCTCTGCCCCGCTGCGATTCCAGCGCAGGGGCTCAGCTTACCTGCTCGCCTTTGCTACCTTTGGGCCCTTTGCGACCCGGGTCCCCCACTTCTCCCTGCAGAGACAGACAGAGAGGAGGAAGGCTTGGTCCAGGGAATTGGGGGAAGGGGGCCAGGACAGGGATGCGCCCACCTGGGTCAACCCACCAACCACTCACCTTATCCCCATCTTCACCCGGGCCACCATGTGGTCCCGCAGGGCCGGGCAGCCCAATGGGACCCTGGGCACCATCACGGCCAGCAGGGCCAAGGGGCCCTTTTTCACCCTGGGGGGGGAGGAGAAGAGAGAAACTGAGGCTGAGAGGATGGAGTGCCCCGCTCTGCTAGCCCACTGCTCCTCGTCCCCTTCCTCTTCACGCATAGGCCCCACCCCGCTTCCTCATGTCTTCTTCCCGTCTCCCCACCACCAGAAGGCATCTGCCTCCACTCACCGGCACGCCCTTTTCTCCAGCCGGTCCAGGTGGCCCCTGGGGGCCGGGTCTGCCCGGGGGCCCGATGGGGCCTCCTGATCCTGAGGGACCCTTCTCACCAGGAGATCCCTGGAAAAAGGAAAGAGGTGGTCAGCCCCAGCCCGGACATGATGAGCACAAATGCAGATTTTTTCATGCTGATCCTATCTCTCACTCCGAAGCCCATCGTCCCCAGCCAGCGAAGGAGGATGAAAGCAGTCAGGGGGACAGTGGGGACCAAAGGCTTGGAAATCTTCTCCTGGGAGGGTTCAAGACGTGTGTGTGTGGGGGGAAATCTCCCTATTTCCTTTGGGCCTGTCACGCCCCCGTTGGATTCTGACTCTGAGGAAGAGGAGGAACAGCCGACAGGGAGTGGAAGTGTGGCTCCGGAGGTTGTGGAGGAAACTGGAGTAAGGCAGAGGGGTGGCTGGGCAGTCAGAGGAAGACCCAGGCCCATCCCCTCTTCATCCTAGGGCACGCAAGGAGGAGAGGATAAGGGAAAAACGTAAATGGTGTGGTCTGCGGGGGAGGAAAGGGCCCCGATCCCCTTCATGGGCTGCAGCTGTGAGGACTGTTTATAAGGACAAACTGCGCATGGCAAAGTTGCTGGAAGCAAAGCGTGAAAATACGTCTAGTTTGTCGGTTCTTATCTCAGTTCTGGCGTCCTTCCCAGTGTGTGTATTTCAATATCCGTGGACGTCTTCAAGCCCTTATCCTGCCTGGTCTCCTTAATTGCTTCAGTGTGCTTTGCGTTGCTGTTTTTTTATCTATTTATCATTGATATGTATTTTGAGCCTGAACGGCATTTCTTCCTTTTCACAACTGTTTGTGGGGGAGTTTTTTTTTTTTCTCCAGTCAATGATAATCGGACCTTTGAAGCCAGAAATTAAAGGCACTTCACCTGTTTTTATGACTTGGTTGTTTTTGTATCCTATCTTGGGTCAACACAGGGTCCATTGTGTGTGTGGGGGGCTGAGGCTGGATCCCTCCCTCCTTCCCACCACAGTCCCTTGGCCTTGGGGGAAGTGGGGGGGGGTAGAGGGGGGGCGGTCTGCAAAGAAGCTGCCCAGCGCAGGTACAAGAAGGATCTGGAGATTTGCAATGTTGGATTGTATCCCGGAGGTCAAACCACAGATCGCGATCCAGTAAGAGGGACCTGGCTGCCGGATCCCTCTGTGGCCGAAAGGGAGGGGCCCCTGAAATACTCACCGCTGGTCCTGGGGGGCCGGCAGTTCCCTCGTTGCCTTTCAGTCCAGGGCCACCCTGCTCAGGAAGAGAAGAGGCTGAGTTGGCCCACCTGCCTTCGATGGCTCTCTCCCAGATGAAGGATGGGGGGGGGCAGACCAAAATCCCCCCCCCGAGTCCTCAAGACCTCCTCTCTTCCACGGATGGGGGCTCTAAGAGGGGCCCCTGAGCCAATTGCTGATAGGCCCCAACTCAGAAGAGAGTGCCCTTTTGAGCACCACCCAGACAGATGGGTAGCTGTTGACCCCAACTGAAGCCGGCCATATGGCGGATCTGGATTTTGGCTCTCCAGGAGGAGGGGTCAGCAGGACACCCTTCCCCGCCAAAGGCCCCCCTGCTGGTCGCTGGCCTTGTGGGAAAAGGGTCCCTCCAGGGGTGGGATTCTACAGGTTCGCCCCTATTCGCTAGAACCAGTTGTTAACCTTCTAAGCAGTTCGGAGAACCGGTTGTTAGAAGAAATTACAGGGCTAATCCTGTAAGGAAGGCAGGAAGGAAACATTCTTGGGTTGCTTACAGAAACTGCCTCTCCGTTAACCCTTATTACATTCTTGGCAGGACTAGACTTCCTGTCTCAGGAACTTCTCTGGAGTTTTTTTCCCCCTCCTTTGCTGGTCCTTTGCTTGTGTGGAGTGAGCATTCAAAGTTACAATGGCACTGATAAAAGTGACTTATGACTGTTTTTCACCCTTACGACTGTTGCAGCATCCCCACAGTCACGAGAGGCCAGGCGAGGAGAGGCGTGCCTCGATGTGAGTGATGTTGAGTTGGCCATGCCCAGCCAGTCACATGACCACCAAGCCACGCCCACCAACTTAGCCACGCCCATAGAACCGGTTGTTAAAAAAAATTGAATCCCACCCCTGGGGGTCCTCTTCCCCTCAGCCCCCCCCTTTATTGCCTGCAAGCCCTCCCTCTGCCCCACTGCCTGGGGGAGGAGGGGGCCCTGGAGCCCAACCAGGTTGAGGGGGAGAAGGGAGAGGAAGGAGGGGGGGGCTTTGCGGGGGTCAGACCTGAGAAATGGGGGGCAGAGAGAGATTCCTTCTTCCCACACCCTCTTAATCCAACAGTACGCCGTGGCGTACTGATGAAACCTCCAGCTCAGTAGCAGTATAGCCCTGAGCTACTTGGATGCCGGGAGGCTCTCTCTCTCTCTCTCTCTCTCTCTCTCAGCTTGGACCAGGGGCTCAACTAGATGGTCTCTAAAGGGCCTCCAGCTCTGCAAATGCAGGGTCCGAGTCCATCGCTGACGTCTCAGAGAGGGCCTTTTAGCTGGGAAAGCAGCTCAACTACCTCTGTTTTCCAGACAGCCCTGGTAACATTTCCAGGGGGGCCAAGGACCCCTTTAGACCTGAGTGGGATGGTCAGAGGTGCCTCCCTCCTCTCTCCCCCTGCCCAGCCATGTCTGGTCATGCCAGACCCATCCCCTTCTAGGAATTGTCTGGCTCTCCCTGGGGGGTCCCTCTTGGCCCCAGGGATACCCAAAGGGGAAGAGAGGGGCAGAAGGGATAAGAGGAAAGAAAGAAAGAGAGAGAGAGAGAGAGAGAGAGAGAGAGAGAGAAAGAAAGAAAGAAAGAAAGAGAAAGAAAGAAAGAAAGAAAGAAAGAAAGAAAGAAAGAAAGAAAGAAAGAAAGAAAGAAGAAAAAGAGAAAGAGAAAGGAAGGAAGGAAGGAAGGAAGGGAGAGGGAGAGAGAGAAAGAGAGAGGGGGAGGAAAGAAGGAGACAGAAGGAGAGAGGAAAGGGAAAGAGGGATGTAACAAAAGAAAGGAAAAAGAAAGAAAAAAGAGAGAAGAAAGAAAAAAGAGAGAAGAGAAAAAGAACAAAAGAAAGAAAGAAAAAGACAAAGAGAAAAAGGAGAGAAAGAAGAAAGAAAACAAGTGAAGGAAGGAAGGAAAAGAAAGAAAGAAAAGAGAGAAATAGAGGAAAGGAAAAGAGGGATGAAACAAAGAAAGAAAAGAAAGAAAAGACAAAGAAAGAAAGAAGAAAGAAAAAAGAAGAAAAAAGGAAGAACAAAAGAAAGAAAGGGAGAGAAAGACAAGAAAGGAAGGAAGGCAAAGAAAAGAAGGAAGGAAGGAAGGAAAAGAAAGAAAGAAAAGAGAGAAATAGAGGAAAGGAAAAGAGGGATGAAACAAAGAAAGAAAAGAAAGAAAAAACAAAGAAAGAAAGAAGAAAGAGAGAAGAAAGAAAAAAGAGAAAAAAGGAAGAACAAAAGAAAGAAAGGGAGAGAAAGACAAGGAAAGAAAGGAGAGAAAGAAACCAAAGGAAGGAAGGAAGGAAGGAAAAGAAAGGAAGGAAGGAAAAGAAAGGAAGGAAGGAAGGAAGGAAAAGAAAGGAAGAAAGGAAGGAAGGAAGAAAGGAAGGAAGGAAGGAAAAGAAAGAGAGCGAGAGAGTCTCTGTAGGGACTTCCTCTTCCTGCTCCCTCCCCCGATGGAGACCCCCCCCAACAACCGTCCCCTGCGGAGGGAGGCCAGGGACCTACAGCCGTGCCGGGAAGGCCTCGCTCTCCGGGGAAGCCCCGCAAGCCTGGGGGTCCGTCCTTTCCGGGGCTTCCGCTGGTTCCTGGGTCGCCCTGAAAGACACACCGGAATGTCACAAGGTTCCCCGCCCTCCCGGGACCCCAGCTTCTCCCCCCTCCCCCCCGATCTTCTGCACAGCCAAACCTCCCCTCGCAGGGAGGGCCCCGTGGATGAGGGACAGCAGCCACAAAAAAGGGGGGGAGAGGGGATTCCCATGCGTGGAACCCCCCGGAGACCACCCTCTGCGGGGGCCACGGCAAAGGAGGGGAGTGAGGACGGAGGGGTGACAAGAAGCACCTGGCCGGCCGGCCACCGTGTGTTACCTTGGTCCCTTCCTTCCCGGGGGGCCCTGGCAGGCCTTGTTCTCCCGGAGGCCCTGGGGGCCCCGAGTGGCCCCTCTCCCCCATCTGGCCCGTTTCCCCTGCAGACCCCTGTTGGAAAAAGCAGCGGGGATTGGAGAGAGTTTGAAGGGCTCCTTCCCCTCCCTTCCCCTCCCTCCCTCCCACCCTTGCCCCCTTTCCGGGAGCATCCGTTACCTGTGGCCCCACGACGCCGGGCCCGCCTGGGGAGCCCGCCTTGCCTTGCAGCCCCTGGAAGACAGAAGAGGAGAGAGTGGCGGGGGAGCATGGTGGGGGGGGCAGTGAAAAGCCCCTTCCTCCCCTCTTAACTGGGCCCAACCAGGGCTGAGCCTCTTCAAAGACTGGTTGGCAGTGTTTGACCCGGGCCTAGACTGGAATTTGCACCCGGAACCCTCTCAAAGCCACACCAGAGTCTTCCCTGCTAGTCTCCAAACCCAGGAGTAGATTGGGGGTGGGCATGGGGAAGAAGAGGTCCCTTGAGCATGTGCCGAGTGCACTGAACCGTTCTGAATACAGACCTCTTGCTAGTAATTTATTAGATGGATTGGCTGGTTCGATCTACATCAGGGGTCTCCAACCGTGGCCCCTTTAAGACCGGGGGGACTTCAACTCCCAGAATGCCTCAGCCAGCAGAGCTAGTCTCCAAAGCCAGGAGGAATTCTGGGAGTTGAAGTCCTCCAGCCTTAAAGGGGCCCAGGTTGGGGACCCCTGATATAGATCAAACGAGCCAATCAATGTAATAAATTACTAGCAAGAGGCCTGTATTCAGAACTCAGCACGTGCTCAAGGGACCTCTTCTTTCCCATGCCCCTGGTTTTGGAGACTAGCTTTGTTGGCTGAGGAACTCTGGGAGTTGAAGTCCACCAGTCTTCGAGGGGCCCGGGGTGGAGACCCCTGATTCTAGCTCACACTTCCATCCTGCACAGCTGAAGGTGGCTTGTTTAATGCTCCCACATCCTAGCCCCTCTCCCCCCAAAAATCCAACCCTGTGAGGCGGGCTTGAGTTCACAAACAGTCCTAAATAAAACCTCCAGGAAATTGGCTTTGAAAAAAACACACGCACAACGATTGCATCAATCTCAAACGTTGGATGCTGGAGGAAAAGAACCATTTTGATTCAGACATCAATATCAATCTAAAAAGTCAATCTCAGGCACGGATGGGATTGTCGAGTTGTCATTGCAGGAAGGTTCCCATCTCGGATGGCAAAACCTCAGATAAAAGAATGTTTCCAAGCAAATACAACTCAGGTAAACAAAGTCACTAATCTAAAGGAGGATTAGAGAGACGAAGTAAACGTATGTTAGACTTTAACTAGAGATAATTCATTGTATGGATTGCTGTGCTAAACAGTAACCAAAGTTAAGCAGTAGCCAAAGTCAAACAGCGATGGAGGATAACTAAAAATGTGTATAAATGCAAGACTAGACTCCAATAAAGTTCATCATGATTCGGTTGTTCGTGATCAAACAACTCGACTGCCTCGTCATTATGACATGGGATTCAGCCGGTTCGGACCGGTTTGAATGAACCGGTAGTGCCGGCGATGGGTTGGCCCTGTCCACCCACCCCTGCAGTAGTCTGTCCTATATTTCCTTTGTTTGAAGCCCGGCTGATCGACGCGGCCAAGTGGATTGCCATGCCTCCACTCTTTTAGTCACCGGGACTGAAGATAAGCTACGTTTTAGAGCTGATTTTAAATGCACTGTGCACGTGCCCACCAAAGCGGTTGTTATACCGGTTGATTCCCACCACTGATCTCAGGCTTTCCAAATTTAAAATAAAGACTGATTTTTATTTTTATTTTAGGAAAAAGGCAGAGTGGAAATTGAAATTCTGAAATGTTGAGGGAGGGGGCAGGGTTTGGGGAGAGGCTCCTGGCCCCCCCCCATCGCCCCAGGGGGGGGGGGGAAAGCAGCTGCCTGGGGGACCCTCGCTCACCACTTCTCCGCGCTGTCCTGGGTGGCCGGGCATCCCATCTTTGCCAGCGGGGCCCTGTGGACAAAGAAAGGGGACAGAGTCAGTGGTGTGTGGGGGAGAGAGTGTGGGGGGGGAGGACAGAGGAGATGAGGGGTTTGTGACTTACCGGGGGGCCTTTTGGTCCGGGGAATCCATTCGGCCCCTGAGTTCCTGGTTGCCCCTGCAGGAGGAGGAAGAGGAGGAGAGACCCCTATTAGGGGTCATGCCCGGGTGCCTATTGTGGTTTGCAGGCAGCAGGTGTGGACGGCTGAGATCTCGGAGAGCGAGGACTCAGATGAAGGGCCCGAGTGTGAGGCAGGGATGGGGCCAGGACTATCGGAGAGTGGGGTGCTGCCTTCGGAGATTGTGGAGGCTGGCAGCAATGATGAAGAGGTCGCCGAGGAGCCTGTGCCCAGTGCACATGCGCACAGGGCCGCTCGAAGGAAAGAGTAGCTGCAGCAGCATGGACCACTCGGGAGTAAGGCTGCAAAGTAATGGCCCCTCCCTTAAGAGATAAAAGCCAGCTGAGAAACCGGAGCTCTTTGCAGGAAGCAAAGAAGTTCTTGCACTCAAGCCTTGTGGATGTTCGGACTCTCTTAGTTTGTGTTTGGAGTCTCTTTCTGTTTGAAATATTTCTTAGCGACTTTATCTCGTGTTCTTGGCAGCCTTGTACCACCTTGGCAAGGCTCCTTCTTATCAGAGACAATGAGTTTGAAACAGCCTTTTAACCGGGAAAGAACGGAATTTGTAACGAATCATTAAAAGGTTTTGCTGTTACTTCTGTTGTGGTGTTGGTTTCGTTGGAACTAGGTTGGGGTCAGGACAGTGCCCGCCACAAAGCTAGACCCAAATTGGAAGTCAGAACCTCCAGACGGAGCTCAGCAGCCCTGGCTTGGAAAGGATTATGGTCTCTGGGGCTCTTGAACCCACTCAGCCTCTTCCAGACAGACCCCCTCCCCAATCCTCCTCCAGCCCAGAGCCCCCCACCATGGTGGAGCATGGAGGGCCAGGGGAGCTATCTTTTCACCAGGTGTTTTACGGCCAGGTGTCCATGTCAGAGTATTAATGAACTGAAACAGAGCATAGTAACAGCCAATGAATAGGCATCGCAACTAAGTCAGCCAATGAGGACTGCTTGGAAACTGAAACTGGAAGGAGCCTAGGCGTGACTCTATATATTAAGCTCTGAAGCTGCAGCTTTGTTTGCAACTCTGAATCGAAACCGAAACTGGTCTCTGTTCTGAGTTCTGAAACTGCGGCCTGTGGCTTTGCTTGTGCTGCGTGGGAAGAATCTGCTATTGGTATTGTACATTTTATTCGTATTATGATGTACATAAACAAGTAAATGAATCCTGCTGAATCAGTCATCTGGGTGGGCTTCCTGGATTTGAATTTCTGCTGCAAAATCTAACCGTCCCGTCTCCTGGACCCGCCCAAATCAGGAGCCTCGGCTTACCCGTTCGCCTGGGGGACCCGGGGGACCTTCGCCACCAGAGGTGCCCTGGGGGGGAAGAAGAGAGACAGGTGAGGAGGCAGGGCAGGGACGCCTGTGCCCACAGTCCACCCACCAGACGCCCGAGCTTCTCGGCATCGCCGTAAGAGAGAACCACGTGGGAGGATTTGCACCCATCACTAAGCGTGAAAACCGTCCCTCTCCTTGCACCAAGGCTGAGTGGTGTGGTGGAAGGAAGAAACGGCCTGTCCGTGCAGAAGAAATCCGGATGTTGCGGTTTCCACGTGCGGAGAATGGTTTGGGCAAATGTGCCGGTTTCACATACACAAATACACGAGCCGGACGCGCAATCGACTTCCTTTCTCCTCCAGATTTTTCTTTCGCATTTCCAAAAAAAATCGATCGCTTTCCTCTCCCTCCTTCCCTCCTGCTCTCCCTTTCAACGTGGAACCTCCCGATTCAGGAGCAGTCTACCTCCAAGTCTCCCATCATCATCGGGCTCACCTTGGCTCCCAATTTCCCAGTGGCTCCTCGTGGCCCTCGCTGCCCTCTGGGGCCCTGAAAGACAGAGAGCATGCATCCATCCAGGGGCCACAGCCCTGCGCCCCCAGGGCCATCCCACTCCACCACCACCCTTCAGAGTCCCCCGGCAGGAGACGAATGCCGCCATAATGTCCACCTGTCATTCGCACTAGGCGCCGGAAGGGAAAGGGGCAGGGAAGAGGGGGAACAATCCCCTGGTGGATCCCTCCCCCACAAAAAACTTATCCCTGTCACTCACAGAGGGTCCTCGTTCACCTCGTGGTCCCATTTTCCCAGCGAGGCCCTGTGGGGGGGAGGAACAAAGGCCAGTCTGAGAAGCAGCCCCCTCCCCAGAATACCCACACACACACACCTTGCGCCCGACCGTCCCAGGAGGGGCTATTCCGGGGGCCACAAACTGATATCCTGAACATGGAAGGAACCCCAGCTCCACTAACACAAATGGAAGCCTTCCTCCCAGATGCCGCACAAGGGCCGCCCTCTCTTGCACCAGAAAGGACCCTGAGCAGAGTTCTTAGGGAAAGCGTCCAAGAAAGACTTTGCAGGTGGTTTCTTTGACGTCGACTTTAGTGAAAGAAAGAGAAAAAGAGAGAGAGGGAGAGAGAAAGGAAGGAAGGAAGAGAGAAAGAAGGAAAGAGAAAAATAAAGAAAGAAAGAGAGAAAGAAAGAAAAACGATAAAGAAAGAACAAAAGAAAGAAAAAAGAAAGGATAAAGAAAGAAAGAAGGAAGAGAAAGAAAGAAGGAAAGAGAAAGAGAAGCAGAAGAAAG